CTTAGCCACTGGAGCAACGTCCCTCAGCGGAGCAGACTTCTAAAAGTTCCGATTTTGTGCTCCATGTCTCTATCACTTACCAGAAACGGCAGATGGGGCCCCCTCCACTGCTGTCTATCCTCCTGAATATCACCTCGGATTCACTTCTCCACAGGGCTTACCTTAGAAAGTGGTCACTTTTCTGTCCAGAGAGTTGCTGCTATTCTTTTCTTTGATCTCCTGTTGAGTTTGTAGGTGTTCAGAATGGTTTGATCCCTATCTAGCTCAATTTCTGGGACCAGACCAAATTTAGGTCTCCTACTCCTCCACCATCTTGCTCCTCCCCTGTATATACTCTTTAACCAGAAAGGTGATGTGGGTAAGGTAGGCACATAAATAAAGACATTAATAATTCTAGGGGTATCCATTGAATGTGACATAGACCATTATTTTATTTATTTTTTTTTATCCTTTAGTCTCTAGACCTGTGAAAAAGACATTATGTTTGGGACCTGCCCCTTCAGCCTCTCAGCTCTGCAATATCCCTTGCTCTACAGACTGTATAGTATCTTCCTGGTCAGCCTGGGGCCTGTGCATCCATGAAAACTGCCGTGATCCTCAGGGGAGAAAAGGTGAGTGTCTTGTTTGTGTCTGCTTCATTTACTTCCAGTGTACACACAATTATTCTGGTAGCTAAGTAGCCAATTAAGCCTGCTTAAGACAATATTTATTTATAAAATGTAGATAACCAGCTCAAGCCTGAGAGCATTCAGTTATTTGGGAGGCCGCTGGGGACATGTCCATGAAGCAAGAATCTGACCTTGATTGACCTTCCAGTTAGGTTCATAGCTGGTGACGTGACTATTACTCAAATATGGTATAACAATGTTTTATATGTGTAATGGTTATACTGAGGAAATTAGACGTGATTTCTGTAATCACATCAGGAAACAACTATTTTGCCTATCTATCTATTTTCAGATTTCCTCATGCTGAATTTGATGTTCTATTTCACATTTTCACGAGGGCATTTATGTGTGTTGTTTACTTTTTGATGTCTTTGGGCTAAAAGTGGAGTCTTCAAACTTTATATGCTTGTTTAATTTTGTAGGCCTCTGTAGTCTTATTTCCTTTCATTTGCTGTTACACACACATCTTTGTATTCAAAAGTTCGTTTTTGGTGACACCTTGACCTCTCTTTCATTGACCTTTCAGTTTGTATTGATACTATGTTTCCTTAAGTAGCAATGCTAAAAAGAAATATTCCTTTTTCTAAGAGAAATGAGCTTCAAGGACATTCCAGAAATTAGATTGTGTTTGCCAAGCACTAACCCTAGATATCACATGCAAAGAAAGAACACCTGGCCAAGTGCTTGATGCTACAAAGCTGGTGCTCTCAACTTAATTCTGTGTCCATTTGAAAGCCCACAGTTTAGCAATTCCCAGATTGCTCACATGCACACATAGGCACGTCCAAGTTCACACACCCATGCCCTGGGCTTTTCTCTTTTCTGACTTTTCATTCTAAGACAGAAGAGGATGTGTTTGGAGTCTAGGTCGAGGAGGAAGAAGCTAATTTTAACTCTTTTATCAAATAATTGAAAACTGGATCTCAGTAGAACCTGGAGGGGTGCAGTGAAGAGGCCCGTGCTGCTTTTTATTTAGACTTGTAGCCAGAATGTCCCCTAAACCTCTTCAGTTTAGGAATTATTTTGTATTATTTTTATTAAAAATAATTTCCCATTAAACTGGACCTTGTAAGTCTCCTGTAGCTGCATATGAGACTCCCCAGGGTGACTTACATGTTATTGGAACCAGCCCTCCTATGTTCAACCTGTGCCAATCCATTTAGATTGTTGTCTAGAAAATCATGGAAGATTGGACTCAGGCTCTGCCAGCCACTGTGGCCATGGCTGTAGATACTCACGCAAATTTGCTATACTGAGTGCTGCCTTTTGCTTTCAAAGCTGTAGAACCCAACCAGGCCAAGTGGGCCTCATATTATTTTATAATTTTTGTTGTAAGTGACAGAAACCCAATTCAAGATCTACTGTTTGAATCCCCATGTTTATTGCAGTGTTGTCCACATAGTAAAGATATGGAAATGACCTAAGTGACTATTGATGCATAAATGAATAAAGGGAATATGATATATACACACGTGTGCATGTGCTTGCACCCACACATACGCTCACATATTTATAGTGATATTATTTAGCCATAAAAAAGATGGAAACCCTGCCATTGTGACAACATGGATGAAACTTGAGGACATTATACAAAGTGAAATAAGTCAGAGAAAGGCAAATATTGTATGATCTCACTTATATGTAGATTCTAAAAAACCTGAAATTATAGTAACACAGAGTAGAATGATGGTTACCAGTGGCTGGGTGGTGGGGAAAATGGGGAGATGTTTATCAAAGAATACAAATGTCCAGTTAATAAGGTTAGTTTAAGTTCTGAGGATCCAATGTATAGCATGAAAAGTATAATCAACAATACTGTATTATATACTTGTAAGTTGCTAAGAGAGTAAATCTTTAAAATTCTCACCACAAAAAGAAAAAAGAGGTAATTTTGATTTTAGATCCTAGATGAAGTAGAAAGAAATGTCTTCCTTAATACTTCCAGGAAGAGTCCTGGAATTGAATCTCATTGGCTGCTTTCATGTGATAACCCTGACCCAGTCACTCTGATTGGCCAACTCCTAGGCATGTGTCCACTACTAGAGGGACAAGGCTGGCCAAGTCTCACCACTGAGAGTCAGGAAGGGATGGCTCCCTTAAGGAAATATGAGATGCTGATACTACAAGATGGTAGAAGTAATGCTGAGGTTAAACTTAATAGATATTTATTAAATGCTTTCTCCCCTTTGTTCTGGGCCATAGAATTTCTACAGCAATTCAGAGAATGCTTTCTTCCTCATTCTGTGTTGTAATTTTTGTTACTTGAGCAAATTTTCACAAAAACTTTTGTGAGAAGTGCTCTTTCAACTTTTCTTTCAATCTTCCTTTTCCACATAACTCTGAACTGGTCCATGGAACTCAGCTGGGAAACTCACAACATTCAGACCCCTCTGCTTGCCCCCTGGGCCCAAGATGCTTCAATGCCAAACCTTTTCTTTGCCCCTGTTCATCTATTGTATGGGTCAACTCTTGCAAATTCACCCTAGTCCATCATTCATTAGACATCACCTGTTGTGGGTTGAATTGTGTCCTTAAAAAAAAAAAATCTTCATTCCTAACACCTTGTATATGTGAATATGACCTTATTTGGAAATAGGGTTATTGCAGATGGACTCAAGTTAAGATGAGGCCATAATGGATTAGGATAGGCTCTATTCTAGTGACTGATGTCCTTATAGAAAGAGGGAAATTTGGACACAGAGATACACAGAGGAGAATGCTATGCAAAGGCAGATGTTAGAGTAATGCGTGTATAAACCAAGGAATGCCAAGGATTGTTGACAACCACCAGAAGCTAGGGAGAGGCATGGGAGCAGTCTTTCTGTGGAACATTCAGAGGGAGCATGGCTCTACTGACGCTTTGATTTTGGGCTTCTAGACTCCAGAACTGTGAGACAAAAAAATTCTGTTGTTTTACATCACCCAGTGCTGTATTTTCTTTTGGCAGCCCTAAGATACTAATATACTGCCAAACTTTGCATCAGCATTTAGGCTCAGCAAGGATATGATACTTCATAATACTTCAAAACTAAAGTGTAGAGAAGTGAGCCCATTTGTCCTAAATCCCACAGGGATTTAATAATGGCCAAGCCAGTACTAAGAACCTGGTTTCCTGTCTCCCTAGTCTAGTATTCCTTCAAACACTGGGCTTCTTTAGTGATTCCCTCTGTAGCCTAAGGAAATTTGGATCAAGGCGCAAGTCGAGTGCCAAGCTTAGCAGAGAAGCGCTCTGCCCACATTCACCCCATTGGCCAGTGGGACGCATTAGTCTTGAGAGCCAATCACTGCACTGATGTAAGAGATAAGGCATGGGGCATGGGATTTGTCTTAGCTCCAGTGTGTCACCTTTGGAGGGAGAGGGAAAGTAGACTGCAGTTGTGTGAGAAAAGAAGGGTGTTCTAAGATTAGCTTGCGAGCAGCAGGTAACTGGAATGTGTGTTTTTTTGCCTCAAACTGTAAGTTTTTCCAAGAAAGGCTCAGCCTTTGGAGCTGAAGGAAAGAGGGGAGACAATAAAGCTTCTCACCTGAAGGTCTTAGTGTTACCACAACCGCCTGAAATGTGTAGGGTCATGTTGGGATTGATGAGAAACAGTCTCTGTTCTACAGGGCCCATACTTAGGCTAAATGACCTGCCCTAGGCACTAAGTAATCCCAGAGAGAAGAGCCTATACACAGCAATGATTGTTATTCAGGTCTGGGAGTTTGGCATTTTATAAATGCTTCCCAGAGCAGAGATGATTTTGATTTTTAAGGTCTTGCTAAAATCTGCCAGGACTACCTGCCTCTAATCCCTCCTGGAAAAAATAAGGAATGGAGTTTTCCCTCTAGGGAAATGATTCTGTGCCTACAAGGAGTCCAAGCATGTTACGATGATGGTAAATAATCTTCTTCTTTATTTCTACTGACTTGCGGGCATGAGGTCTGGGATCTTCTCAATCTCAGACTGTCCCACGGTCCTACCATGGGGTCTGCCAGAGCCGCTGACTAACACAAACGAAATGTAATTCAGAATTCCACAGAGGCCAGAATACACAAGCTAATGCATTAAACATCACAAAACTCTGGGATATAAACTGGACTGTTTAGCTTCACATTTGAATTCCCTACCCTAAAGAAATGCAGTGAACCTAGTAGCAAAAATCTAGGAGATATATATATATATATATATATATATATATATATATATCCTTAGTTATTTTATACTCTATTATATATGATAGAGGATTTGAGGGAAATACTGGCAAACAATAGCAAGAAAATGAATGTGTAAAGTTGGAGATAATTACTTTTTTCTATTCACTAGTCTTTTTCCCAGTCACTGTGTTATTGCTTTGGCATGTTCCTTTTGTTCACATTAAAAAAAAATAGTAGAAAAGGATGGAAAAGCAGTTAATGTTGTATTACCTAACAGAAGAAATTAGTTACCCTAGAGATGATCTTACTATGGCTATTATTTTAAGGCAGGCACCCTTCAGTCAGGAACCCTGTAAGCTTTGTGGCTGTCAGCCGTTTGGAGTACGTTAGAAAATCAGCTGTTGTCCCCAGCCTTCTCACTTTCCACCAGGTCTCTAATAGGCAGACAAGGGGAACAGTACTCAGCAGGTTGGTACTTGTCAAGTGAAGCTAGGACGTATTTCAGAGGAATTTAAATTGGATCAGGTTTTATCATTCATTGCTTTATCTTTGATACACTCCCAGGGAGTTATAATTAGAGATATATGAAAGAGAAATAACCTGAAAAAATTGCTGATGGGTGAACTCTATACAAAGTATAATACATTTTTAAAAATTCTTTTTGATACAGAGACATACATTTATATGACATCCTTGTCCCTTTCAGACATATTCTAGAAAGACATCCTTGCCTACAGAAGTTGTTTTAAAGAAAAATTTGGTGGAGGCTTCCCGATACAATGTCACAATAGGTAACTGCTTATGTGGTAGGACTTCACTGGTTCCTTAACACCCCCAATATGGTCTTACCCCCAGTCACACATTTAAAGTTCTAAAATCCCCATAGGAAAAGACATCTTGAAACTGAGAAGCCATGACTATCTTTACAAAGACAGTCTTTTATGCTCTGAAACAAATCAATTTAGATAACACGCCAAAGCAGGAAAATACTGCCTGTTTTAGATCTTATATAACAACAGTGTGGGAAAATTTCCATTTTCCATTCTTGCCTGCTACATAGATCCACTTTTAATGAGAAGTCTATAAAATCATTTTGCTTTGTTACAGAAAATATGTATGCTATAGTTTTTTCTTTTCCTTTTTGTTCTATGTGTGTGTTAGGAGTGGGGGTGGGGGTGTGTGCCTACTTCTCATTCTAAGTGTTGAGAGTTCTCATAATCACAATTGCCCTATCATTGCTTTTTCTTATTTTCTGTATTCACAGCAGGGTGCAAACTAATAATGATACTGTAAAATGCTGCACTTGCGGGAATGGTGGTTGATTTCTAAAGAGCTGGAATCAATGTGCTCAGGGTCTTTTGTTCAAAGTTGTTACCCCATGCCCAAGGCTGCCAGAGATGAGGAGCAAATGGATGCCTAAGATGGAATAAGCTTCTGTCATCCTCAGTCAACCTGCAAGCTGCTGCTTCAAGCCTGTTCCAGTGGTGTTAGTATGGAGACACAGTATTGGCCATACATAGCTCCGTAGAAGCTTATGGGGACACTTCGGGGACACTAGCACCTGAGGATGTACAATCCTCAGACCTAGATTTACCTCCCATGTCTCCTTTAATTTTCCCATGGCTTCATTTAAAAAAAACTTTGGCCCATCTTCTGCCATTTGTGCTTTGTCCCTTTTCTCTCCCCAACCCACAATTCACTCTTTTCTAAAATTCAGTAGAATATATAGTAAGCCAGTAGAATATATACTAAACTTTGGGTTCATAAAGGAAAAAAAATCCTGCAAATAACAGTTTCATTAAAAGTGGATTGAATCTATAGTCGTTAAGTGATTATTAAAACTCCTTCTTGATGCCTCGTGCCTAAAATTTCACTATCCAATCATACACCCACCTTCATTTGGAGGAAATGATGCATAGTCCCTGCAGATTCACTGTATGGAGTGGGGCTAGAACACATCACACACAAGAGCTGACTTGAATGCTTTCTCATGAAGAGGTGATGACTCAAAAAGTCCTTGGCTGAATTTCATACATATCCATTTAATCAATAATGAGCCTTGGGAGCAGTAGTAACATCTCCTCTTATCTTAGTTTTCACATGCATAAAATGAGAATAACAACTTGCAAAATAGTTTTGAAGATTTTTTAATTTGGGGTAATATAAGTAAAGTGGCTGGCACCATCTTGGGATAGGGTAGATGTTTAATTAATGCATGTGCCTTTTCCCCTTGTTGGACTATATGTTCTGTGAAGAATAGATTTATGTTTTCTGTTCCTCTTGTGGCTTCCCACAGTACATTACAATGATCTACATATGGCAGTTAATGTTTACTGAATGATACGATCTGATTAATATGGAATTCGGTAAATGAAGGTAAGTGGTTGGCTGGCCCCAGCCACTGTGGACTTGGCAGTCGTGTATCTTTCAGAACAGAAGCACCCGGGGGAAGCCTGATGTCTATTGCAGGCATGAACATGTGTGTGATTAAAGTTAAGCACTAACAAGAGACTCCAAGGTTTTTGTTTTATGCTGAGCTTGTGCTGTGATTTGATCCTAGTTACAGTCAGGACAAGGGCAGCACAAATGAAAGACTGGAAGAATTTATTGACTAAGGAGATGTACTCTATAGATTTACGATGAGATGGATGCAATTTGATTTATAGAGGGAAACTGCACACACCTCTCAATGGCATTAAGCTCTAGGTACTAGGACACCCAGAATCCTCAGCAAAGATGACCAAGTTTCTGAGACAGTTGTTAAAACTTATAAATCATGGAGACCCATGCTATGTCCTGCTCAAACAGATAAACTAAACAAGGACAAACATAAGATTGTAAATAAGCAGCATATGGACATTACATGTAAGAATAGAAGTCATCCAAGTTGTGTGGCGGTGAGCACTTGGAGTTCATTGTAATTGGATGACTATCAAGTGTAGTTGGAAACCTTGGTATGTTTCCTGTGTCTCTTCTGAAGGTGGCTCAGGAAGGGAGCTGAACCTTCTGAAGATTTTGTTTTAACTAATTAATGATACAGATTTATAGGTATGAAGTATGGAAGAAGCCATCTATTATTTTAATTGTCCCTGACCTTAATATTTTCAGTGCCATGATCATGAATGTGGTCTCTGATTGGCTGAATGCCTTCCCCCATGTGGCTGATCGTCAACGTAAGAATCGAAGAATCCCTCTTAAAAGGAGCTCAGGGGCTCCTGAGTGGGTCAGTAGGTTAAGTGTCCCACTCTGGATTTTGGCTGAGGTCATGATCTCAGGGTTGTGAGATCGAGCCCCCTGTCAGGCTCTGTGCTGGGTGTGGAGCCTGCTTAAGTTTCTCTCTCTCCCTCCCCCTCTGGCCGTCCCCTCCCTTTTCTCCCTCTCTCTGCCCCTTTCTAAATAAATAAATAAATAAATAAATAAATAAATAAATAAATAGGGGAAAAAAAAGGAGTTCATAGGTTAACCTTGGACCAAAAAACCCCAAATAAAACACTTGAGACTTAATCTAAAAATCCTTGTCCAGTCCTGTAATATTCTAAGGAAGCTCGGCTCCCTCTTGTGGCCTAAAACCATGTGTCCATTAGTTCAAACCTCCTGGGCTGTGCGGTTTTCCAGGAGCCCGTCTTTTGCCAACTATGCCTTGAGCTTTAGAACCTTTTCATTTCATTACTATTGGTGGGAAGATAGGCATGGCCTCGGGAAATCTGGGAGAGGCTTATACCTGGCTTTGTTACCTCTCATGCTCCCTAACTTGTCCTTCTCCCCGCCTCTTGTGGGAAGGGTAGTGGGGGTATCTAACTCTCATGCTGGGAATTCAGTGTTCTCATACTCTCTATTTTCCTATCACAGTCTATCTGTCAGTATGTCTGTCTGTCTCTCCTTGAACTACCCAGAGGAATAAGTGAATAATTCCTTAAAATGTTATCACCCAATAAGATCGGTTTTGTTAAAAATAAAAGGAATTAAAGGAATTAAACTGGTAAACAGAATTTGGTGCATGAGAGAATGGAAGTAAAATATGAAATCCATGGAAGGCAGGTATAGCCTTCAAAAGTGATGTGTCGTAAGGGCCAGAGATAGAAAACTCACAGACTAAAGGGTCGTATCTAGTTCTCACTTTTTTTTTTCTTTTAGGCCACTTTGTTTTTTAAGAAGATAAGTTAGTTAAACATGGAGAGGTATCATATAAAAACAAAACACAACTTGGAATTTCGTCTTCTTGGACAAAAATTAGAAGATTAGTTAACAGAGAGTCCACATTCCCTCATGGCAACAGTCCACAAAAGCTGTTTTAGAGCAACCCTCCACTTCACCGCACACCTCAGCACCCTCTGCAGTTGTATGGTTGACTCGTTTCCCTCAATTTGTACCTGCTTGACTCTTGCAACACTGACTTTGTGGATCTGTAAGCTCGTAGTGTGTAAGGCCCATTTATATCCTTATTATAGTCAGGCACTGGGCCCTAGTCCCACATTACATTTATTTTAACTGAATAATAGTCCAGGGACCCATGTCGAGCCAAGGTGGGGAATGTGGTGCAAAGAGGTACTGTCCTCATAGAGCAGGCTGACCTGGAAATCTCAGGGAAGGGAGGCAGGGAAATCTCAGGGCATAACGCTGTGAATTTCTTGGTTACCAAGGATATGCCACAATGGAGATGCATTTCAGCTAATGCGGAGTAATCAGAATGTCAAAAACAACAGAAAAAAATAAAATGTGGATTTATCTATGTTGAGGCTCTTTCTGAGAGTCTTCATTTACTTCTAATGGTTTATGGAGGCCATTGGGCATAAGCTACTTACTACTCCATTTGATTATGTGTGGCCTCTCCAAGGTTGTTAAGTCTTGGAGGACAGATTTTCTGCTCTAGTTCTTGTCCATTTTCTTTCCCTTTCTTTTCGTATCCCCCTTCCATTTTCCATAATAGAAAACACCTTAAAATAATACACCTTTTGGAACTATAGAGAATGAAATAAAAGTTTCATCTCTTTTCTAGTTGCGGTTGCTTTTCTTCTGTTGGATAAAGATGGAATCCTGTGAAACTTTTGTTTTTCTTTCCTTTCAGGGTTTAGACTGAGACGGCGCCATGTTCTCATGGAATCCACAGGGCCGGCAGGCCACTGCCCTCATTTGGTGGAGTCTGTTCCTTGTGAGGATCCAATGTGTTACCGATGGCTGGCGTCTGAAGGGATCTGTATCCCTGATCATGGAAAATGTGGCCTGGGGCATCGCATCCTGAAGGCCATCTGCCAGAATGACCGAGGTATGTGGCAAAGAAACGTGTTGCTAAGTGATCTGCCCTATGACGTGACCGCTCTCTCACAGGTCATTCTCCCAAGGGAGAGAAACACAGCTTTCCTACCCAATACTTATATTGAAGTCAGATGCCACATTGCTGCAAGGTAAGCTTTTGCCTTGACTTATTATAAGGCCACATACTCCGAAAGAAAACTATATGATTATTCCTAAATGCAATACAGTGAACCTAGAGCTTTCTCTGCAGTTTTCAATTTATCAAGACAGAGCATACAGAATTCCTCTGGGTAGTCTTCAACTTATCAATGCCGAATAAGTTTTATTTGCCTTTTTTGAGGTCGATATGTAACATGCTTTTATATATTATTAACAAATACTATACCTTGTAAAGATTTCAAGGCTGCAATTCTCTCCAAGTTAAAGAAAAAAAAAATACCAAATCTTTTCATTTATATAGCATTTGACCAGAATCAGTTCTAGACATAATACTGACATTCCTAAGGAACCATTTTTACATATAAATTGTCAAGATTTACAAAACTGTTAAAGGTGGTGTCTTTCCTTCATTGCCAAGCTTCTAGTACAATGGGTTGTTTGAAATGAAGGGTGATTTAGAAAATATGTAAGTTACATGGGAATGAGAAAAGTGACATTTTAAACCTTTATCTTACAGTTTAGAAAAAAAATCAGTCTCTTGGAAGAATATCAAGTGTGTCTATCCCATTTATAATGCTCTTGGTGTGTGGAGTGAAATGTTTTGACTTATGAAGTGAAGTGTAATCCATAGAACCCAAGGAAATTACAAAGTGGATTCAGAGTGGCTATTCAGAGTGGCTTCCACATGGGATTGACATTCAGCAATGGTTTCCTTTTTTCCCTCCTTCTGTCTCCCCCATGACCCCCCTTTCTCACTTTCCCTCTTTCACTCCCTCCATGCCCTTTTCTCTCTCACTTTCTTCCTTTCTTTCCTTCCTCCCTCTTCTTTATTTCTTCCTTCTTTTTATCAGTTCTTCTTTCTTTTTAACCACTGCCATAATTGGACAGATATATACATTATCAAGCAGTGTAATCAGTTATCTCATGAAAGGTATTTGTTTAATTACATAGAGGTCAACAACATATTGTATTAGCTACATCCTTTTTGACTGAGTAGTTACAACTAATAGTGGCTTCTAATATTACCAAATAATTTTTGAATTGTGGTAATATATGTATAATTTATTAACAGAGGCAAATAAGGTCACTTTTGTGTTGCTTTTCTTTGAATTCAGGAAGAATAGTATAAAGGTTTGAACCTGGAGTCTAAAGTCAGCCAGGCTGGAATTTCAAGTCTGCTACTCACCTGCTAGACAATCTCAGGAAAATTAATTAACTTGTGGAAGCATACTTTCCCTCGGCTTTAAAATGGGGGTAATAAAACTCTCAGATTGTGAGAGTTAAATTGGTTATATAAAAGTGATTAGTGAAGTGTCTGGCACATAACCATTCAAAATAAGGTATAAGCTTATTTTACTTATAATGCACATTTATTACTGTTCTCTGCCCTGGGGGAATTGTGCAAAGAGCATTCTTACAAAATATGAAAAGAATAATGAGTATTAGAATAACCATACTACTTCTTCCTCCCAACCTCCCGCTGTGGAAACAAGATCATTTGTATGGTTGAGTCCTAATGAAAAATGACTGTCAGGCTTTGTCATCTCATAGCAGATATTAGAGGCTTGTCGTGATATGTTATGTCTATAGGGCTGAGGACTTTTTCACAGTTTGTTCTGTGCCTTCTATAGTATTGCAGAGGGTTACATTGTGATCTATAATTAGAAATAAATATTCTTCCCATTTCTGGCACAGAGCTGCTAAAACTCTTGGAACTTTCTGAGCAATAAGAGCAATGGCGGCATCTTTGGTTACATTTGTTCTCTTGCCCTCAGTTGCTGAAATCGCTTCCAGATAGGTGAAATGGGTATGTTGTGACTCAAAAAAACAAAAAAACAAAAAAAAAAAAAAAGAAAAGAAAAGGAATAGGTGTGTTGTTATTCATAACAAGCCTAACAAGCTGCCTTCCTCCACAACTGGGTTTATGTTAATGAGGTGATTTGTGGAAAGCACCTAAGGATGGGAGCTGGTTGCCAGAGGAACCGAACCAAATGGTTTCCAAATGATTTCCAGGTAGGGGAGAAGGGCTAGAGGTTGAATCCAACACCAATGACCAATGATTTAATCAATCATACATATGTAAAGAAGCCTCCATAAAAACCCAAAAGGATTGGGGGCCCAGAGAGCTTCCAGGTTGGTGAACACTTGGAGATTTGGAGAACATGGTGGGTAGAAACCCTGTGCCCTTTCCCTATACCTATGCATCTCTTCTATCTGGCTATTCCCGAGTTACATCCTTTCAAATAAACTGGTCATCTACTAAGTAAAACACATTTCCTGAATTCTGTGAGCCACTCTGGCAAATTAATCAAAGCCAAGGAGGGGGTTGTGGGAACCTCTGATTTATAGCCCATTGGTCTGAAGTACAGGTAACCATTTTTAATGTTTTAATGTGGACTTGCGATTGGCATCCTCAGTTAGAGAGGGATGTTGGAACCTCCGATTTGTAGCTGGTTAGTTAGAAGTATAGCTCACTTGGGCTTACAGTTGGCCTCAGAAGTGGAGGCCAGTCTTATAGGACTGAGCCTTTTACCTGTGGAATCAGATACTACTTCTAGGTAGTGTCAGAATTGAGTTGAATATTAGGACACCGAGCTGGTGTTGGAGAGTTCCGTGGTGTGGTGTGGGGAAACTGCCCCTCTTCCCCCCACACTTCCTCAGCCACTGAAAATGGATATAGAATCCTTTTTTTCAGAGGTATCAATTTTACCATTGTAGAGCACTTCTAGAGTTGGTTTGTTTGTTTGTCTTATTCCTATGAAGGGACTAATTTTCAACATTGACCGACACTCTCAATTTCTGTGGGGAGAAATAGAAATTACTACTGGTTCATATCAGTTCCATGAAGTCTTTGTGGTTTTTACATACCTGAATGGCTCCCTAATCATTTGTGGGATATCAGCAAGGGTCATGCTTATGAGAACATGCTGGCTTCCTGGTAGCTGAAGCAGTCTTTTGTCTAGTGAGAAGTTGAAAATGTAGTCTGGTTGCACATTTTGCAATTCAGCTTCTGTGAAATTCTGGATGATTTATGATAGAAGTTTAGCAGAGAAGTGCTCCTCTTTGACTCTCCACATGTTATCGTAGTCTTTCCATACCTACAGGAATTGACACTCATTTAAATGCTTAGAGAGAAAGAAAAAGGTTGAGATATATTTAATAAATCAGCTGTGAATATTTTTCTTGTAACATTTGACAGTTTTCTTTTCATCATCTGAATTTATTAATTGTTGTATATGCCCTTTATTTCATACTTTATTTAGAGTTAAGTGGATAAGACCAAAAGAAATATCTTCGTTTTGGTTGAAAAAAACAAAAACAAAAACTGGTATGAAGTCTCATCAGGCTAGAAGCCTGCTAATTTGCAAGGGTAACTTACATATATATATATGTAAGTTACATTCAGCATCCTTGCAAAATGTCAACATCCCATTCAGATTGTGGAGCCAAGAGATTTCCACATAGCCATGATCAGGGTTCTATAGGACTCTTGACAGTGTCTTGTTGGGCATTTGTGCTGCCAGGAAGACATATTTCTCTTTCCCAGAAGTTTAAGTCATTAACTTAAAATGACTTAAAATTTGAGGGGCACCTGGGTGGCTCAGTCGTTGGACGTCTGCCTTCGGCTCAGGTCATGATCCCAGGGTCCTCGGATCGAGCCCCGCATCGGGCTCCCTGCTCCGCGGGAGGTCTGCTTCTCTCTCTCCCACTCCCCCTGTTTGTGTTTTCTCTCTCGCTGTGTCTCTCTCTG